AATAACGCGAGTTTCCCCACTTGATCGAGTTACTTAGGGATTGTCTTGGCCGCCGCGGGCGGACGCGCCGTCGAAAACGGATGGGTAGGGCGAAATCGCGCGATTCCTGAACGGCCGAGGGCCGTCGGTAGTCGGGAAATTGCATTTGCGAAACACAGAGCGTGTCTGCGATTTGCTGTAATTCCGACTGGGAAAGCTTCTCAGCTGCGGCTAATGGTTGTAACTGTTGTCCATAATTTCCTGATTATTACGATTGTAATTCCTGCTCGTGATGGTTACGTGATGGTAAATCGTATTGTCCAGATTGTTGCTCTTTAGCGAAATTGAACTTCATTTACGAATTATTGGGAGATTGCAATTTAAATAAATGCCTCTCCACGACGTATATAGAAGAAACTCGCTCGTTTCTTCGTAGGATGACACATAGATAGAGGAAGATTCGATAAGATAAGAATAAGCAAAGGTTTCAATTCGAGATTCGAGTGAAATGAGATTCCACGCGGAATGTACAGTCGATACGAAGGAGAGACACGTTCGTGTGTGCGAACGGCAGGGCGATATGAGGTCGTGTACGACGATCGAAAATAACGCTCGATAACGTGGCCGTGGAGATAAAAGCGCATTCTCTTTCGGATTTGCGGGAATCACCGGGTCACCGGACTGGCTTTCGGAGAATCACCGGCAAGGCTTTGTCGACGCGCCCCGCGAGATTATGCGAGTGCGTTTAATGCTCGCGTGCATATACCCCACGCATACGCGCGCTGATAACTCTAATACGGTGGCGCACAACAGGTATGATAATGCGAATCGAGCCGGGCCCGCTGTTTATACCGGGAGGGGATTAAAGTAATGCATCGATGCACCGGTTCGCCGCATTGAGCCAGATGAAGAGATTTACCCCTCGTGCAAATTACATACGCATTAGTGGCGGCGCTCACGCAACGCGCGGGATGTACGTAAAACTGCACGCGTAATACGCATGCAGTTGTGCACGAGAAGATATCGAAGATATCGCGCGACATTGACAATGAGATAAATAATCTTCAAATCGTAAAATCTCTAAAATCTTCGTCATTCCTTATCAATTATGCGCGTAAAATATTTTATGAATAAAGTTTTCAAACGGAAGGTGAAACGCGATAAAATATGAAAAAGATCGGTCGTCTTTTTTTGGGATGGCTGTCACGTTGATGACGTTGATGTTACTCGTGCAACTCGTGAAAGATCGATAATTTTTTGCACGGTAAATATATTCGATATCAAGATAATCCAATTTCTGTTGAAGAGTCGCTCGCAAAATGAAGACATACTCGGAAAATTAACCTGCAAGACTGGCATAATGTAATGACGGTTGAGCAAATATTCCTTTGAAGAAGTTCTATGTCCGCTTATAGCGCTATATCATTTAATGGATTCCAAATAGGACGCTTCGCCTATTGCGTATCTCATGCAAAGCGCACGCTGCAATTAACCACGCTGATTAGGCAATGCGCTTTGAAGCGACATGCAAACGATGAAAGGTTCATGCATTGCATATATCTCTGATTTTATGCCCAAAGGACTCAAATTTCTCGAAGCGCAATCGAAATAACGAGAACAATGCGATCGTAATGCCATTATTGCAATTAAATTAATAAAATTAATTTTATTTATTACCAGCACGAATCAAAATGTTGTTTCAAACTGAAGGGAATGTTTTTTTATAAAATATGTAAAAATATACACCAAAATAAGTTTTTTTTTTTTTTTCTAACACAAATCTTAATTCCGCCGAACAATATCGTATCAAATCGAAATTTCGAATTGATCCACTCATTTCATTAATAATCAACAAGTTTTTTAGGACGAGATTAAAGATAACGATCATTTATCGATGTAATGAGCTAGCATTTGACTAAAACGATATTTATAGCGAGGTGGAGGGGGAGGGGGGGGGGAGGTCAGCGGAATGTGATCAAATTGGGAGTACAGAGAGATGGTTAGACATTGGCACGAGGGAGGACTAAAACGAACCGTGGGAGAATTCAAAATCGAAACGCGCCATCAAATACGCGTTCGAGGGATTTACAAGTTATTCAAATATTCCCTGCCCGGTAAGCTATGATGAATACTCGGTGTTCCAATTTAATCCCCTTCGAAGCCCGTCCGCCCTCAAATCACATCCTTGCCGCTCGTGCTCGACCCTCCCTCGATTTCAGACGATTCGCCATTAATTCGCATCGGAAAAATTTTGCGCGAGCTCGAAGAACCGCTTTGAAAAACATCCCCGGAATAACTTACGGTAAAGCGGATTTCGGTCCACCGCCAGTAAATTTGAGCGAATCATTGATCGACCTGGTACGAGCACAAACGTTAAGTGAGATTGAAAAAAGATACGATAATATAATTCTGTATTATTTAAACGTAATCGTTTATCAGCAAAATTAATAAAATATTCTGCAAATTTCGCTCGACATTTACTAAATATAATGTTTAAATTATAAACAGACCTTTTTCTATATAAATCCGCCGCTTTTTAATACCGCTTTTGCATGACGATGAAATATTAAAAATGGATTTTGCTGTATTCAAATATACGTTATTCCGAGAGATATAGTTATTAATTTATGAAGTATCAAAAATCGTGAATCTGAATTTTTGGCGCATTCGAAACGTGAAGAGACTATTCGGTCGACTATCTACATTGTTCAAAATCTGGTACAACGTATACACACAATATGGAGCTGTTGGCCTATTTTTACAATCCGTGCTTACGTTGCTGAGAATAATCATTGCAACTGGAAGTTGCGGAATTTTGTAGAGACATTGTGGCAGTGCGTTGGCATGTGCATCGTTTCGTTTTTATATGAAATTCTATTTTTGAATGACAGGAATAGAACGCAAAACACTATAGAAAGTAACTTATGAAAAAAATTTACACTCGAAATCTTTTTCGTGCAAAATTGTCCTTAAATTTATTAAAAATTTAATGCCAGCAAAATATATTTAAATATAATATACATCAAATATACAGATACAGTACAAATATTAAAATATTTATCACTTAAATTGTACAATCATACAATCTGTATATAAAACATTAAAATAAAAACATTATATCATCAATTGTACGTTATTTCTCCGATTGCACCAATGTTATCTTTAAACAAAATTTAAATATGTGTCTATCTTTATTTATTTAGAAAGAAAGATAGAAACAAATACATATTTAAGTCTCGCTTAAAGCTAAAATAACGTTTGATGCAACCTTAGCGGGTCTTAGCGATAAACAATATTATTATTTCAAACTTTTCATAAAAATTTATTTTGGGGTATAATGTTGCATTTCAGTGAGAAAATCAATCGCAGACGCGCAGATAAGAGAATGCGGAACGTCAGAATATATTTATGGGACCACTACATATCGCGGTTGCATCGCATACGGGCGTGAAGTTACGATGCGTCGAGAGATGGACGAGCATTGGTATTTGAATACGCCGTCGTGTCGCCGACGACGCCCGTTGCAAAAGCCGCAGAGCTTTACGAGACGACGTTAACCTTCCGGCCAAGTATTGTCGCACGTGCGGGCGCGGAATTAATCCGCCGAGCCAAAGCGAATTGATATTTTGATCACGCATACCGGAACGACACACGCACACTCGCGTAATCTCGTTTGTGCGTAATTGAGCATACTCCGGGAGAGATCGCGGATAGTTTGGTATCGTATGTAAAACTCGATCGCGCCGCTGCGATAGTTATGCCAGAAAATTGCTCCGAATTTCCCATTCCATTCGGTTTTGATCCAACCATGACGCGCAGTAAAGGGGAAGCATTAAAATTTATACAAACCAGATCATAACTACTGAATCGTGAAAGGCAATTTATTTCTCCCTTAATGGGAAATTTCTCTTTATGCACGAACATAAAATTTTGAAAACGTTTATATCGAAAAAAATAAGATATTAAGTAATATATATAAATTTTAGGAAAACGCTGTAAAACTTTAACAAATAACAGAGATACGGATTCTGAGAGAAAGCGATCATTTTGCTACCTTCTTGCAATCGAAATAAAGAAGTCCGCAAGTGCATTTAAGCGCAACGTCTATAGAGAATAACACGAGAGCGGGACAAACTAGTCGATGGGAAACGTTGCTCGATAAACCGGCTCTCGTCGTACGAAATAATAGCTTCACGATGCGTGTAGCGTCACAAACGAGCGTCGGTAGAAAGAGCGAGCCGCCGGGTAGGTCAGAGTTGACAAGGATGACGGCATACCGAAGGGTTGCGTGCGTTTCCATCGGGGTAGAGAGCACGGTCGCCTTTGTCGCGGCGCAGAGCGGAGCGTGGCGCGGGTAATAATGGATAATAATGCTTAAACGGACGATCGCCAACTCAACTCGACTTGACCGCGTATTGGCGATTCGATTGTCTCCGCTATTGCACGATTATCCATGCGCATCGCGGCAGTCGAAACGCGTCATTCATGCGGCACGAACTATCTCCCCCCCCTTCTCTCTCTCTCTC